TTTTGAATACGGCATTGTACAATGTAATTTATTAAAATTATGTTAAAACTACCATGAAATCTAGTGGAATCATTCCACTAGATTTTATGGTAGAATGTTTTTTCCTCAAGAGTCCCGTAAGGTTTAGTCTTAGGACCACTTCTATTTTTTTCTTTTTTTTTATGACTTAAATTCTTCTTTTAGATTTGCAACTGCTTACTATTTTACTGATGATACTAAAATGCAACTGGTTGACAAATCAATTAAAAAAAACAACAAATATATTAACCATGAACTTGGAAATCTTGTTCAGTGGCTTTGTTTTAATAAACTTTCTTTCAATTCTAACAAAACAGAGCTGACCATCTTTAAATTCTAGCACCAATTAATAAGCACTAAAATTTCAGATTAAGCGGCCAAAAAATTTATCCTTTAGACTCTATTAAATATTTTGGGATTAAAATTGATTTCAAAATGACTTAGCAATGAAACTCAGCAAACCTAATGGAATGCTAGCCAAAGTCCGCCATTATGTAAATCTAGAACCTCTGCTAGATATATATCTCATGCTATTTTTGGGTCCCATTTAAGATGTACATGTCAAGTATGGGAACAATCCCATTAATAAATCTTTTTAAGGTTGTTTTATCTCCAAAATAAAGCCTTGAAAATAAAATATTTTTAGTATAATAACTGTATATCTAATGTGCTATATCTAATCTCCAATATATTAAAATTAGGCGATCCGGTATTCCTTAACTTGTCAAATTATCATTACAAAAACCTTCCTTATCATTCAGCAATTTCTTTTCAAGTACAAACTGTCACTATCCTCTTCATTCCATCAGTAGCTTAAACTTAGTTATTCCAAAACACTACTCTGCTAAATATGGAAATAAATCCGTTAAATATCAATCTATTAGCTCGAGTAACAAACTACCTCTTTTAAAATCTCATAACTCAATCTCTGAATTTAAAATCAAGTTTTTTAATTATTTGTTAAAAAAAATACAATTAAATATTTTTACAAATTAATATTGAAAATTTTTATTATATCTGTCAGTTTGTGATCCTTCAGTTTTTAATTTGATATTTTTAACATTTTGAAATTCTTTATTTATCCATCTACATCTAATTGCTCTGGTTTTCAATCTGCCGTTTTTAATACTTTTACTATTTTTTTTTATTCTAATATTAATAACATGGCTTCCTTCATCATAAGTCTTGTGTAACCAATCTAATAGAGACTTTTGATATTATTTCGTCTTCCCTAGCATCGCACCAGTTTATAGATGTAATCTACCTCGACTTTGCTAAAGCTTTTGATTTTGTACCTCACATTAGACACATGTTAAAATTAAAATCATTCGGAATAAACGGCAAACTACTACAATGGATTAATTCCTTCTTAGTAGGCAGAGAGAAGCGCTTTACAATTAACAATACTAGCTCTCACTGGGTTGATGTTCTTAGTGGTGTTCCTTAAGGTTCTGTTCTCGGCCCGCTCCTCTTTATTCTTTTACAAACAATCTTGCCCAACTTACAGAAACTTCTGAAGTATTTGCAGACGATACTAAACTTTAAAACGATAAAACAGACTAACTTCATTGATCTGCAGGATCAACTTACGCTTAGTATACAAGTGGTCAAACACTTGGTTACTTAAATTAAACATTTCAAAATGCTGTGCTATCTATTATGTAAAACCAATCCTTTGTGTAGTTACTTTTTGCAAAATAACCAAGGTATAAATGAAAACCTAAGAAACTCTATTAAAGAGCGCGATTTAAAATTTTTACATTTAACCTCAAGTGGAGTACACATATTTAATCAGTTGTATCCAAATCTTTACAAATTCTTGATGTGCTAAAAAGGACATTCACCATCGTTGATGAAAAAATGGCTCTCCAATTATATAAAGTGTTTATAAGACCACACATTGGAGTCAGTTTGGGCCCCATATTTAAAAACTGACGTAGCTTTGATTAAATCTGTTCAACGTAAAGCAACAAAGTGGGCTTTAAGCTTGAGAAATCTTGAATACTACGAAAGACTTAAAAAGGCTAAATCTACCATCATTCGAGTTTTACCTCTTATTTTAAGATGGTGTCACGTGGTCACTATCTTAAAATAAGAGGTGAATATGTTCCAAACTGTCTTCCAAAACACAACCAATTATATAATAGATCAGCAAAATACTGGAGTGAACTACCCGAGCAAGCAACTTTATACTCAACTGTACTTTCCTTTAAAATTAGATTAGATCATTGATTAAGGATAAAATTCGGAACGAATATTTATAAAGCTGGTTGTTTATAGTAGGGTATTTTAAACAATATTTTGACAATACATTTTTATTTAAGATTGCTATTTCTAAAATCATCTAAAATTTTGGTCTTATTTTCTTTCTTTATTTAATTACAAGTTCACTTATAAAACATTCCTAGATTTCAAGGAAGTTTTAAAATTCCACTAGATTTCATTAACAACGACAAAAACAATAGTAATAAAAATAATGATAATAATAATAATAATAATAATAATAATAATAATAATAATAATAATAATAATAATAGCAATAATAACAATAATAACAATAATAACAATAATAACAATAATAATAATAATAATAATCATAATAATAATAGAAGGAGAATTTCATAAATAAAGACAGTAACAACAGCAAGAGAAAATTTAGTAAATAATGACTGTAGCGGAATGTTTGCTTTGAAACCCATATTGATGTTGGTCAGGCATTTAAATTTTTTTACAAACTTGTGGGGTAACTTAATTGAACCTCGCCCACATCTGCACTGAAATTGTTGTTGACAGGCTATTATTAAACTTGAACAGCTGAACTATACATTATTAGATAGCTTATTCCTTCAGCTACAAAACTATGTAAAATTATTTAGATTTTATGAGAGTAGTTGGCAGTACCATTATAAATTGTACAGTGTGTCAAAAGCACTGATTCTCGCCCACTTGAACTTAATCTCGCCATGTTGATTTAAAGTCAACATGTTGATTTAAATTCATGTTGATTTAAAGCATTGAAGTTTTATATAAAGTAAGAAGCGTTTTAAACAAACATTCTTTAACTCAAATATATTACTCTTTTATACACTGTCATATTAGTTATGCTAATATTGCATGGGGTAGTATCCATAAATGTAAATTAAAGCCACTTTAATGTCAGCAGAAGCATGTTGCACGTCTTATAAATTTCAAAAATCGTTTTACTCACTCAAGGCCACTCTTATTTAACATGAATGTTTTTAATATATATCAAGTAAATTTTTATAAATGTTCTTTGTTTTATGTTTAAGTGTAAAACCAACTCATCTCCAGCTTCCTTTTTTGATTTATATTCTTTGAAAGAAAAAAATAAATATTCTTTAAGAAATGATGATTTTATTAAACAACCTAAATTTCAAACAAACTTTGGTAAATTTTGCATTTCTTTTCGTGGAGCTTTTTTATGGAACCAAATAATTTTAAAAAATTTTGATTTTTCTTATGAATGGAATTATTATATGTTCAAAAGAAAACTAAAAAAGTAATTTTCTAAACATTTATATATTTTTAGTTATACCCAGTTTTGTCATTACTCATTTATATTTTACTTTCATACAATATATATATATATATATATATATATATATATATATATATATATATATATATATATATATATACATGTATATTATTATTATTAAAAAAAAAATAATTGATGTATGTGAATGGATGTATCTGCAAATATTGTATGTATGATACTTCTAAAAGTTAACCATCCTTTGACAGTGGTTTAGCATTTTTGTAGGTGGAAGCGTAAACGCACCAACATTTGATAATTTTGGCTTCACACACAGTGATACCATCATTTGACTTTCTAAATTCTTGTACACAATCTTTTGGACAACCTTGAAGTGCATTTGGATGTACCTAGTGCAATCATATTTTTATTATTTTTGTTTATTTATTAATTAATTAACAATTAAGATTAGTGTAATTGTAAGATACATTTGAGTAACAAGATTCAGTGATTGTATAGATGCGAGAATTATTTGTTTATCAAGAATATTATGATATTGTTTTCGCTTGAGTCATGCGGTTCAGAAGAATTAGTACTTTAATTCAAGCCATAAAGACCATAACTAAAGAAAAGTTTCAAATTTGTATTTATTTATTTATTTTTTATTCAAAGTTCTTCAACAGCGGTTCTCGGTGACTAGACCTGTATGGTCTTCTTTGAGTATCCGCGTTCTTTATCTTTATTCTTTATTTTTTAACGATTTCTTTGCATATAATTTTTCTTATTGATATATTTGTAAATATTGTATTAAATATTGTAATAAAGAAAAAAAAAAAAAAAAAAAAAAGTCGCCCACTGTGTAAATTAAAAAAGAACTTATACTTGCGTAGGGCGACATTATATAAAGGTGAGTGAAATTAAATCTCGTTAGTTAACTTCTATGCTCAATTGCACTATTTAAATTAGAAAAGTATAAAACCATGGGGTTTTTGTGAATGCGAATTTACTCCCTAGATTCTGACTTGAATCTGGATTCTGAGATCAATCTCAATTGTAATTGTAAAATGTGTAAATAAAGTATAGTTTCAACACATCAATGCTTACGAGTCGTAATGATATATTGTCTTATTTTTCAAATATTGTCTTATTTTTCCCCCAGTCATGAGTTTAATTTTTATATTGAGCAGTCGTGGCGTAGTGATTAGAGCATGGTACTCATCGCATAAGTGTTGCGAGTGCGAATCCTGTTCGAAACACTTATACGTTATCGGTAAAGCTCGAAATAGGGAACCAACTCATTAAATGGCTTAGCCCTTGTGGCAGTGCTTTTTACCATTAGGTCTTATCACAAATAAGACCATTAGAGTATTCTTAAATAAGAATAATAAAAAAGTTTATATAGATAAGACGAAATTGTATGCATTTTTAGTTATATTAATAAATGTTGTCAAATATTTAGTATATTAGTCTGTATTGTTCTCGGGGATCAACCAATGGTTGGTCTTGGATTAGATACAATCCAATCATCACAGGCTGCATTGTAATAACGTTTCAGTGGCCCATAAACTGACTGATCTAATGGCTGCAATTTGTGACTACAATGTGGTGGAAAGGACAGCATAGTTATGCAACTTTTTTTAACTAAATTTAAACACACGATTGAGACATGGCCCTCGTGGTTGTCAAGAAGTAAAAGCACTGGATTAGCTGGTGAACATTTCACATTTTGAATAAAATGTTTCATCCACTCTAAAAAGGTTGCAACATTCATCCAACCAGATGGGTTTGCAACCCCAACACATCCAGGTGGACCACCATTTATCATAGTTCCTTTGAAATGAACTCTTGGAAAAATAATAAATGGAGGGATTGAGTTTCCTATTGCATTAACTGCACAACAAACTGTTACCAATGTCCCTCTTTCTGCTGAAGTTATCCTTCTAACTTGTTTATCTCTTTTTTTAGCAATTACTTTAACTTTTTTTTGAACAGTTGTGAGACCTGTCTCATCAACATTATATATGTTTTGTGGCTGAAACTTGTGTTGTAGACGAACATCTTTTAGATTGGTGAAAATTCTCCGACTGTATAACAATTAAAAGCAGTTGCTCATGCCATACTAGTAGCTTCTGGATTTCGTAAAGATAACTCATTCCTACGTAACATAAAACTACGAAGCCACTGTTTCCCAGCAATTTGTAAACTTTTCCACGATTTAGGAATGCGCTTAGAAAGAGTCATTGCAAATTCATAGACAGGTTTTGGTGTTGTTTTGGTTGACAATCCATAGTGAAGTTTTGAGGCCCTTAAAAGATAATCTGATAAAGATGTTTCTTCTTCGTTGGTAAAGATTTGCATGGTAATGAAGTTAGGTTTGCAGACTGTATTTGGATTTAATTGACATTACATATTCCTTACATATCTCTTAAGTGTCATTAAATTGATTTCCCTCTCTTTAGATTCACGATAAACTGCACCACCATTAAGAACTGCATTAACAGCTGCTCGCATTTCATTCTCACTTTACCTCTAGGTGGTCTATCGGTTTTTCTTTTTTTATGATACACCATATTATTAACAAACACACACACAGATATATATATATATATATATATATATATATATATATATATATATATATATATATATATATATATATATATATATATATATACATATATTGAATACTTTACAATTATATTTTATAAAAGTTTTAGGAGAACATAAAAATACAAAATAGTATAAAATATTCATTTTAAGGCTTTATTTTAGAAAAAAATATATTAAAAAATAGTATGACGTATTGTACACGTTACTTTAAAAGTTAAACATTTTGTGTGTGAGTGTGAATGCACCTTTGATCATAGGATCAAAGGTGTATAAACGCATTAGGATCAAGGGTGCTAACCCGCTCCATTTTTACAAAAATTCTTTTTTTGTCATATTAGATGCTTCTATAGCTTACCAAAAGCAACCATACAAGAGATGAATAGTTAAGTTACAAAATGACATAAGCAAAATTATTCAACTTAAAAAAATATTAAAGATGTGAGGTTCCTTGTAAAAGTAAAAAAATTACTTTTTGTCGCCGAAATCAAACTATTTAGAAATAAATTTAATATTGGTCTATTCTTTAACCAAAACACAATTAATTTCGACGATACAACATTTATAAAACGCTGGTTATTAGCCCTCTTTAATAAGGTATGTAAGTATGGAGATAACGCTATAGGATCAAAGGTGCTTACGGATCAAGGGTGCAAGTTCTCCCCTATTTAAATAATTTAAAAAATTTTGAATTATTTTAAAACTAAAAATTTATTAAAATTTGTATTATTGCTATGCAACTCTTTATCACTTGATCAAATGAAATTAAAAAAAACTGTAAAATAATTGACTTACCAGGGGGTAGGAAGAGTTTGCAAACAGAAAATCTGAAACTGTAGTAGAATTAAAGTTTGATGGTTTAAAGATTTCTTTTTTTTTTTTTTTGCTTAGTAAGATTAGTAAAACTATTCACAATGCAGTCAACCTTTTTTTCTTCAACTGGATTGACTAAATATGCAAGCTGATCATTACGAACAACAGTCTCTGCTTCCAAAAGAGAAGTGTTGCTTTGTAATGAACTTGAGTCGCGTTATCTTCTTCAGTGCCATTTTGTAAGTGTTCTAGATAATTAGCCACTTTTCCAGTATCTTTAGAAGCATCAACGTCTGAAAAATTAATTTCTTGAACAGTTGTTAATGATTGGAATTCATTAGAAAATATAAATAATACTATTGTAATGCAAGTTAGTAAACTTTATGCTTCATTCAGAATTTTTATCAACTTGCACATAAAATATTTGTCACAGTTGCTAGCTAAAGTTTAAATAATAACTTTTATTGTATTAGCAAAAACACGATAGTACAATACTAACCAAAGAACAATTGTTTTCAGTTGTATTAACTGATATATCCTCAGTTATGTTTAGATAGTTTGGTAAATATGCATCACAAGGAATAGCCTGAAGATTAAATGGATAAATTCCACACGACTTAAACCCAGATGTAATGTTGCTAGAAGTCATTGCTTTTTCCCAAGCTAAAGCAAATATCCCTGCAGAATTTGAAACTGACCCATCAGATCTTGTACTGTAGAGCGATAATAATCCTTCAGTGGCTTGAATAAGGTGCGGTCGCATGGTTGAAGCCAGTTTGATGTGAAGGCATTTCAATTATATGTATCTGGTTCTGGATAGCAATATCAATTAGCTCACTAAAGTTGTGAGAATCATGCCCATCCAGAATCAATAACTGAGGACGTTGTGGACTAATATTTTCTGAAAATATCTTTGTAAACAATAGCTTTGTTAGGCCCTGTTTAGTCCAACCACTATCGGAAAAGCTACAATTTGTTTCTGGAGGCGCGAGCTCAGTGTTAAAATCAACCTGGGGTGAAATGAACTTGCCCGGTGCATTCACACATGCAATAACAGTGATTGACTCTCGATTTTCACTCGTTCGACTATGGAGGTTTTTTGTGTCTTTTTGGGCAACCACTTTTCTTGATTTTACGTAACGTTGTAGACCAGTTTCATCCGTATTCCATTGGATTCTGGTTTAACGTGAAAACCGTTTTTCACCATGACGTCATTCAAAGCACTGAAGTACTTTGACACTTTATCTTTATCCATACACTGATGTCGAACTGAAGCTGTTCCCTCAGGTTGTCGCAGAATAAATTTATGCCCATGCTGGTGTTTAACCCTAGTGTACCACTGGTTGCTTGGAAGTCCTTTTTTGAAGTTGAATTTATGTTTTGCGGCATGTTTCCCAGCATAATTTAGGTGACTTTCCAAAACCTACCCCTAACTTTGCTCTATTGCTCTAATTTCTTAAATTGAAAATAAATAAAACAATCGTAAATAAAACATGCGTTATTTCTAAACACTAAAAAATTATTTCTAAAAAAAAGAGCATAGCATAAAAAGATAAAATTCCAAATTCTTTCTTACCATAAATAATCAGAAAAAGCAAATGTAATAGCAGACAAAGTTTACTTATTTGCAATACTTACTTTGTTCTTTATCTAGCTAATTTATTTGGTTTTGATGAACATGAGCTTTTTATACAAAACTCAACGCAGAGCCATAGCAATTCATTTTTTAATCAATTTCCTTAATTGCAATACACAGAGGAAGAGTATTGTTTTGAAAGCAAACAAAAATAAATTAACTTGGATATCATCAATTTTTGTCGAAGCAATTATCAAGTAAGTTTAGGGTTCATTTTTACGATAATGTTAAGGATGTTGAATTTAGGGTAATTAATTTATAAATAATTTCCTCAATAATGTATAGAATAAAAATACATAAAAAATACTTCTTTGTAAGCATTCAAAAAGATTATGCTCTTAATATATGTCCTTACGAAATGTTATGATTTCGTTTTTCAATTATTTTTTAAATATTTCATCCAATTTAATGAAAAAATAATGGGGGTCACGGCGAATGGTTTTTTTTGTTAAAACTGCTGGTAGCTTAAGTCATAATATATTATGCTGTATCTATTCTCGCCCACCCGGGCGAGGTTAAATGCATTGGGCGACAATATATTTATTCTGTGGGCGAGATTGAGTTAATTTGGTAGGTTGAGCAGAAAACAATTTTATGCATATTTTACCATTTCAAACAATTATAAATGTTATTACAATCAGAGATTAAGGTGGTAGATCCCCATTCAATCTATTTTCTTTAAAAAACACAATAGAGAGATTTTTCTTGTTTAATAACTTTTTTTCCTTATAAATAAAATAAGTAAAATTATTAAAAAAAAAAAAAATTAATTTAATATCATCAATTAGCATAATTAGGTAAAAAAGAACCCCATAATGGTACATAGATAACTCCATATTGCATGGTCCGATTGTTATCAAATTTTGCAGAATTTGAATGACAAGTAATAATCAAATCAAGTAGTTATCAAATTTTGCAGGTAGCATTTATGCATGGGTGTTAACAAAATGTATCAAAATGGTAAAAAAAAAAAAATTATTTTTCAAAATGTTATGGTATTTTTACTAAGGTGTTAGAAATTTATGATAAAAAAATTGACTTGACTATTCATAACTTTCTTTGACCTTGCAAAACTATGCTGATTTTGGTACATTTTGTTAGCACTTTAACGTTAGTGCATTGAACATACTGTGAAAATTTCAAGTCAATTTGACATGTAGAACTCGAGATAACTTTGTACCAAATATGAAAATTTAAATACAGAGAAAAAGATTGTTAAAAAATATATTTTCAAATATAACTAACTTTATGCTAAAAAAACTAATATGCTCCAGATATATAGGAATCTACTGGCTCTGTTTCCTTTTCTTTGTCAGAGAAACCTTTTTTTATAGCTCTAAGTTATTTTCTTTTTGCAAGTCCTTGTGTACTAGTTTTTTTTAATGCATTACTTATGCGTGTCGCATTCGATACGTTCGTAGCTTTATTCATGCACTTTCCAGTATGAATGCCAAGTTTTAAAAATAGACTAAAAATTCCAGCTGTTCCTTCATTAAACTCTAAAACTGCAGATGATACACCAATATCAAGTATTTTTTTACTAACATAAGATTGTTTTGGGCACTTTTTTCCGTATAACATTATTTATTGATTTGTTATACTTTTTTTATCAATAATCACATTGTCACAATATGGTTTAGAATAGATTACATCATTAAAAGATGAAGTATCTCCGTCTCCAATAAATGATGTACATCAAAGCTTATTTTTCTTGATTGATCTAGCTAACATCTTTACTGCCTTTCAGATTCCATAACCCCAGAAGCTTTGTCATGATTAGCTAAACATTTGTGATTCAAACTCTATTCATTGTATTCAGAATCGTTTTTTCTTTTACCCTAATACTGGCAACCTTTAAATGACTTTGAAAAAACATATGTATCAATACATTTTCCATTTTCTCTTGACATTAGAGTCACAACACCATTTATTGACGCATGTCCTCGTTTCTGCCATGTCCTACCTATAGATACTTGACAGTTAGTAGCAATGTCTGTAAGACTCCCATTTAAGTATGCTAACAGTTTCTTGTGCTGCTTGGGAAGTGGATTCAGCAGCAGCTTCAGTATATTTCTCATGTAAAATTTGATTTATTATTTTAGTGTATTTTAGTCATTGGATTGGGCATATTTAAACACTGTGCAAACGTTTGAATTGAGGCAAAACCTTTGCCAAATTCGCGAAATCCTATAACCATTCGAAAATTTATAGTTGATACTCCTCTACCAGTTGTCTTGTTGGTATATTTTTTGTTACATTCAGTTAAAGTTTCAAAATCACTGACGTTCGTGTTACAAAACTC